CACCACCCTCCATCGCCCGCCTTCCCGGCGCCGTGCCGGGCCAGAGCAGCCAGCGTCCACACCGCCAGCAGGAAGAGCAGCCGCGCCCCCGGCGCCATGAGCCCGCCGCCGCGAGGCATGCCGGGAGTTCCATCGTCGCGGCAACGGCGCCGGCCCCGCCCCGGAAGCAGTTCCATTGGCTCGCCCCGGAAGGGAGGGTTTGTTCGGAAGGCGGTGCGAAGGCCGCGGGAGAGGGGTTAGCGGCCGCTGCCAGTTCCCATGGCGACGCTGCCACCCACCCACCGGAGTCGCCCGGCGCAGGACGTGGGCCATCGGCGGCGCGAGCGGCGGGGACAGGCAGCCTCAGACTGCGGCTCCTGCTTCCTTTATTGGCTTGCCACGCCCAGCCCCTCCCGCCCCAAGCCCAGCGCGGGCGGGTCAGGAGTACTCGCACAGGTGGCCGCAGCCCGCGGGGCAGTGGGAGCTGCCCTCCAGCCACTTCATGATGTGCTGCAGGTGGCCGCCGTGGCTGCAACCCTGGCACCACACGAACAGACCCTTGACCACGTGGTGGCACACGGCGCACATGCTGGCGCAGCGGTGGCACCGGTCACAGACCCAGCCGCGGCTGCTCATCGGCCGCTTGCAGTGGCTGCAGTTGACGTGCAGAGTGGTGGACGCCTGGTTGAGGCAGCTAATGGCGCGGCTGGTGCTGAGCTTCACGACCTGGTTGGACACGTTCCAGAGGCAGAAGCGCTGCAACAGGTCGATGTAGGACGTGTACCAGTGCTCCTGGCGGGGAGGGGAGGGAGGCAGAGGTCTGGAGATGGGCACACTGGGGGGCTCCCCCCGGAGCGCGCTGGGGGCGGGGGGCAGTCCTGGGGGCGGGCAGGGAGGCCTTCCCCCGTCCCAGTCACCTACCTGCGTCTGCTCATCAATGTCCTTGCGCACGCGCTCGCCCAGCACGATGAGCACGGACACAGCCATCTGCACATCACCCTGCTCGGCGTAGAAGCGCAGCATGTCACACACCAGGGCACTGAAGAAGTCAGGGGGCAGGCGGGTGTCGTGGAGAGCATGTGAGACGGAGAGGAGCGAGAAGGAGGAATCCACGGGCGCCAGGGAAGCCGCGTCAGCCTCGCTGCCGCTCACGTGGGGCGAGTCGGCCTTGTCCTGCAGGTGCTCCGGGCCAGGCGGAGTGTCCACGATCTCGTGGCGTAGTGGGAAGGCTTCCTGGGGCAGCACGTACTCCGGGTCCTCTGCTGCAAGGCAGGGATGGGGTCTGAGACCCTGGCCCCACCGGCCAGCCCCACCCCCAGCCCCGACTCACGGTGTGCATGCTCCGGGTCCAACAGGTACAGCTCATCCTCCTCGCCCTCCACATCGCCCAGCAGGTAGTCTGCAGGCACGTCGCTGCCCTCTGTCTCTTCGTTATCTGCCCATAACAGAGACGGGGGGCATTCCAGAGGAACTGATTTTGGGATGCCCTAGCCCCGCTCCCATCAATGCCCTGTGCGCCTCCTAGCCTACCCTCATTGGTGATGAGTGTGGCTGAGGAGTCAAGCAGCACCGTGTCGCTCCGTGTATCACCCTTGCTACGGTCCAGTCTGGTCTCACTGCCCAACCCTGGGGCCATATCCTTCAGGTTGAAACTGCGGGTAGGGAAGGCCAATGGGTAGATAGGTTCCAACAGCCCCACCCTCTGAGGAGAGCCACCCCCAGATGTCTACCTGTTCATGAGTGGCAAGCCACAAGAGCTGCCCTTGCCCACACTGTGGTTGAGGCTGGTGGCAGACGCCAGGCCAGGGCTACAGTAGATGATCCGCAGCATGGTCCAGGTCTGTGCTACCTAGGGACGGGCGCCAGGCACTCAAAAGGGGCCTGGGTTCCTGGCATGCCATGCACCCCCCCCTCCCCCACTCCTGGATGGAACCACAAACTCTCAATGTTCAGCTGCCCCAGGCACCCAATGTCCTGGTCCACCGCAGCTGGGGAAATTGAAGTCTATGCCAAAGACAAATATCTTAGTCTCTGCCCTACGAGGGAATAGGAAGGAGCAGAAATTGGAGGCAGCCAACATGGAAATGAGCCTGTGGTCCCAGGAAGACAATGAGAAGCTATGTGAGCCTCTGTGGGGTCAGACACCTTGGGAAATCCAAAAGCAAAAATGAGCCACAAGAAGGGACTTCAAGCCTGCACCCCAATGATGGCACTGGGTACCCTCAGATACCAGGGTGGTGGCTGGTGGTGGCAGCCGCCAGAGCTGAGCACTGAACCCAGGGCAGGGTCTGGGTAGAGCAGTTGGGGGAGCCCCCAAGTTCATGGTCCCTGGGCCACCTCACCTACCTGGTTGCGGCCAAGGTCCCGAGCCACTTTTGCATTGTGGTCACAGAGCTCAGCCAGAGGCCGACCAGCCAGGGCATAACGCTCGGCGGTGTCCACGAACCAGCTCATGCTGCCACTGCCAGGCTCTATCTCAAAGACACTGAGGGCACTGGACGCGAGGCCCACAAAAGGTTCGGCAGGGTCCAGCTTGCGCTTGAAGAAGATGGGGTGGCGCCGATCACCGGCATAGGGCTTGCGCCCAGACTCGGTGGCCACTAGGCTCTCCTTAGCGGCGAAGGCCAGGTCCCCAAAGAGGCCATAGCAGAGGCCCTCGGGGTTGGCCCGCTCAACAGGCTGGCTGGCATCACGGAACAGGTGCTGGCACAGTGTGCTGTCCTTAGAGCCCGAGAGCAGGAAGGAGGGGTCGTGTGGGTGGCGCCAGGCAATGCCTGTTGTGACGTCGCGGTGCTCCTCGAACATGGCAGCCGGGACAAAAGGCCGGCGCACATCCCACACGTAGATGTTATGGTCTACCATCATGGAGCAGGTGGCCAGGTGGTGGCGGCACTCAGGCCGCCACTTGACGCGGGCTACTGAGGCGATGGTTTGCACGCAGTGCACCTCCTTGGCACGGTGCGTGGTCATGTCCCAGACCTTCACCATCTTGTCACGTCCACCTGTGGCCAGCCAGCCCCTACAATAGATGCACGAAGCCCTCAGGGTCCTCTCCGGGGATGGGATGGCTCCCCACTCTGCCTCACAGGCCTGGAGGCAGCCCCTCCAGGAGCCCACCCATCCCACCCTGCCGCCCGTGCCCCCACGCCACGCCTCCCCACCCCACACCTGTCCTCAGGGTGCCAGTCGCAGCAGAAGACAGGCCCGTTATGGGCGGTGAACATTCTCTCACAGCGGTCAGGCCTCCGGATGTCCCAGAGCTGCACGTTGCCATTCTCAAAGGTGGATGCGAAGGTGAAGTAGTCCCGGATGCTGAACTGGACGTCCCGCACACTCTCCGACTGGCCTGTGGGCAGGATGTCAATGGAGGGAGAAGGTGAAGGGCTCCGGGAGAGAGAGTGGCCAATGGTGGAGGCCTTGGACAGACTGTGGACTGCAGTCATATGCCTGCCCGCGGCCAAGGTGGGGAGGCCTAGAAGGTGGGGTAGACATTGCTAAGCTTGCCCTGGGGTGGTGGGTGGCGAGGAGAGGCTTCACGGAGAAGACAGGGTAGATTAGGCCAGGAAGCAGGATACCAGGCACCGTGTAGTTTTTGAACCCAAAACCTGGACCTCCATCCTCTCCTGGATTGTGCTTCTGACGGCAGTTCTTGCACAGAGCAGTGACCCAGCTTCAGGACTGGCTGTCAGAGCAGTGAGCAAACAGGAGCCTCACTGTGCTATCTGTACACACGCCCCTGAGGGAGGCCCAAGGAGGCCTGGATGAGGGTGCCCTACCTTCTGCCCCATCCCTTCACCTTGAGCTGGAGCAGCTGGGTCAGCCCCACGGGACTGGAAACCTTAAAGGTCTATGTCCACCCCCATGGACCACCACCGAAGAGCCTTCAAGGACTCTAGCTTTTCCACAGCACAGGTAGTTAAGGGTCTGTCTAAAGAGGCCCCCAATTCTCTGAGGCGACTGAGGCTTCTGCCCCGTGCTTTGTTTGGTCTCTTCAAGGTGCACAAGGGATAGCTGGCTCAAGGCCAGCTGCCAAGGAGCTGGGCCTGCTGGGAAAGGGTGCCAGGCAGCATACCCCACCTCCTCTCCATCCCTGAGCTGAGGACCCTGGAGATCTCGGTGGGCTTCCTGCTGTGAAGTGGCCTGGAGCTCTGGGCAGCAAAACAAACCCTCTGCTCAGCAGCTCAGGTTGGCTGTAGTCTGCTCAGGCTCTGCCCTCTCCCTGGTCCCATATCCTGCCCCTCCCATGCTGACCCTCACCCACTCTTTTAGTGCTCTCTGGGGGCATATCTGAAGACCTCTGATGCACACGATGCACTTCTCCACCTGCCCGACCCGCCTCCAGGGTCTCACCCGAGAAGGTGCTGACAGAGTCCTTCCTGCGGAGGTCAAAGCACTTCATGAAGCCGTCCTGGGAACCGCTGAGCAGCACGTGGGCCTCAGTGGGATGGAAGCAGACTTTGTTCACTGTGCGCTTGTGCTCTGTGAACAGCTGGTCCTGCTTGTTGCGGGATGGCCGGCCCAGGTTCCACGTGACCACCACGCCATTGGTGGCCGCCGTGGCCAGCAGGTTCTCGTCCATCTGGTGCCAGACTACGTCCGCGCAGCTCAGGTTGAGGGAGGGCTTGCGGCCCACACGGAGGTTCAGCTTCTCCACAAACTGCTCGTCCTCAATGGCATAGATCTTGAAGATGCTGCGGCCTGCCACGACCACCTGGGCTGCATCACGGCACACGCTGATGGCATTGGCTGGTGCATCCAGGTGGCAGTGCATAGTGCGGCCCGTCAGCGTGCTGCCACCCAGGGCCGTGGTCACTCGGGACATCTTCTCCATGGCTGCACGGGGGGGGGGGGGGGGGGGGGGGACCACGAGGCCGGTGAAGCGGGCTGGCCTGGTCAGCCTGGAGGGGCCAATCAGTTCAGACCCTTCACCCTGGTTGGGGCCCCCAAAATTGCTTCGTCCTGGGCGGGTCAGTCTGGGCGAGCCCGTCCAGAACAGTTCGCTGCTACTCAGTGAAAAGGAGACATCAATGCCCTGGAGCTCGGCCGTCCCGTCTGCCTTCTGGGGAGACCCTACCTGGTCAGTCCCAGCCCGGGCCACCGCTCCATCCCCCGAACAGATCTGGGTGGTCACTGACTGGGCTTTCGGCCAGTCAGTCCCTGCAAGGAAGCGAGGGAGTCCCCCCAGTCTACACAGGGCGTCCCGGGGCCTCCAGGGAGGGGCAGAGGGGCGCGGGGGACACACACGGACGTCAAGAGCCGAGCTGTTTAGGGAGCTTGAGGGCACTGGCCGGGCGCGCCGGACGAGAGGCCGGCGGCGCGGAGCACTGAGAGCGGCGCGCGCCGGGGAGCGGAGGCGGCGGAAATGCGGCCCGAGGGCTCCGAGAAGCCTCTCCCTCCGCGGGCACCAGAACCATTTCCTAAAATTGCCGGGCCGGGCCTGGCCGGAACCGCCGCGCCGGAAGCAGCCCTTCTCTTTCCCGTTCCCCGCCGCCCTGCTCGCCGGAAGTGGTCCCTTCTTGCCAGCCTCTCACCAGAAGCGGGCACTCGCACCGCAAGTGTTCCGGATCAGGGAGCTGAGCTGGGGGAGGCGGAGGTAGAAGCGTTGCGCGGGGCTCCCCCGGTCCCGCCTCTGCGGTTGGCCTTTTTGCCACAGTGTTTTCATACTCGTGCCCATCTCTCCCCCAGCAAGTCCAGCCACCCCTGACGAGTCCGAATCCCTCCAGTCGTCTACCCTGGTTCCTCTGATGGGAACCCCGCAGCCTGCGGTGCGCCTGTCCCGGCGCCCTGGAA